TCTCTCTCTCTCTCTCTCTCTCTCTGATCTCTTTCTGTCTCTCACTTGCTCTCATCTTGAAGCTCCATACACTCTGCATTCTTCTGCACACTCTGCTTTTCTTTTCTTGAACTCCCACACTCTTACAAACCTCTGTGCATTCTCCTTTCAGTCACACACACACTTTTCACACACACCTCACACATACCATATGCACTCTCCTTTCACTCACTCGCACACCACTTCACACACAGCTCACACTCTCTCTACTCACCTTACACTCATCTCACATACACCCCATGCACACCTTACTTGCTCTCCGCTTGCTCTTCACGTGCTCTCTCACCTTTATCTTGCCCGAGTCTTCTATTGATATTCCAAAAGCAGGTAGAAAAAAAAAAAAACACTATACAATCATTGCCAAATCAAATTCAAAAGAAATTCCTTGGTTTCTGATTTGGTCATCAGGCTAGTTTTCTAGTCAGCTTCTTTGTGTTGTGATAAAGCACTGACCAAAAGCAACCTGGGCAGGAAAAGGTTTATTTCACTTTATAGGTTGGGTCTATCTTCAATGAAGCCAGAGAAGGAGCCCAAGTAGGGTCCCAGGGGCAGGAATGGAGGCAGAAACCAAGAGATGGGTGTTGCTCACTGGCTTGCTCGCTGTAGTTTGTTGTGCTGGCTTTCTCATACACCCCGGACTGCCTGCTCAGGGGTGGCACCACCCACAATGGGCATGGATCTTGCACATCATTAATTGATTAAGAAAATGCTCCCATAAGCAAGCCCACATATCAGTTTGGTGGAGAAAATTTCTCAATCAAAGTTTCCTCTTCCCAGATGACCCTAGTTTCTATCAACTTGACAAAAAGCTAACCAGAACAGCTAGAGAATGTATTAAGATTAACACTGCCCTTTGCATGATATGTAACATCTTAGTTTGAACCACTAGAAATATGACAACTCACTCAAGATTTTCAGAAATGGATCCTGCACTACCAACTGCTTAAGCTCCCTGGCCAAGGTCATACATGACAACTTTGGCATCATGGTTCACACCCAGCACAGACATGTGGGCACCAGCAGAAGGGGTGGAGATGATAACCCTTTTGGCCCTACCCTTCAAGTGGGCCCCAGACTTCTCCATGGTGGTGAAGACGCCAGTAGACACTAAGACATATTCAGCACCAGCATCACCCCATTTGATGTTAGCGCAATCTTGCTCCTGGAAGATAGTGATGGGCTTCCCCTTGATGACAAGCTTCCTATTCTCAGCCTTGACTGTGCTGTTGAATTTGCTGTGTGTGGAGTCAAACTGGATCATGTAGACCATGTAGTTGAGGTCAATGAAGGGGTCGTTGATGACAACAATCTCCACTTTGCCAAGTGCAGAGCAGAAGGCAGTCCTGGTAACCAGGCGTCCAATACGGCCAAATCTGTTCTCACCAACCTTCACCATTTTGTCTACAGGACAAGGCTGGCACTGCACAAGAAGATGTGGCTATATCTGGAATAGGGAGGAGCAGAGAGCCAATACTTCTATATCTCAATGATATTGAACATCTTTTGTGAGATAACTTACTTCATAAATATATGAAGTATATTCATTGATACTGAACATCTTTCATGTGCTAATTTATTTTATGTATTCTGGATCTAAACTGTCAGAGATGTGCTATGATGGGTGATTTTATGTGTCAACTTGGTAGGTTATGTTGTGTAGTTGTGTTGGTTAAACACTTGTCTAGATGCTCTTTCTGGAAGTGATTAACATTTAAAATCAGTAGACTGAGAAAAAAACAGATTACTCTCCCAACAAGGGTGAGCCTCATTCAATAAAGTAAAGGCTTTAAGAGAAAGACTCCCTCTCTGTCTCTCCTTGTCTCTGTCTGTCTGTCTGTCTGTCTTTCTGTCTGTCTGTCTGTGTCTGTCTTGATGTCTCTCAGCCTCTCTCTCTCATGCACACACATATATGACTGGCTGTTTTTATGGAGAACTCAAATACACATGGTTTTCCATTTTTAAAATTGGAGAATATGCTTAGATAACCAAAATTTTTACTAGAATATTGCTTTTAAGAACTTCGAATCTTAGAACTAAGGAATGTATATTTAAAAATCATGCGTTTATACTGATAATTCTAAGTTATATTTAAATTTGTGGTTTTTTTTTTTGCTTAACCCCCTTGATTTTATATTTGTGTACCTTGCTTAACATTAGAAATGGTTGATTTACATTATTTTATAATACATAAAATGAATTAACTGTGGTAGTGCTACTTCTGGTAAAATTCTAAATAACGTTGTAGATTGCTTTGTGATTCATACATCCTGCTGAAGTTATACAAAGTTTCATGTACTAAGTTAATCTGATTTTTTTTGAGAAATAGTTTCTTATTTTGTATATTTAGTTACTATGTTCCAAGTTTATACTTTATTTTAGAGTTTTCTTTTGCCATTTTTCAGTTTAATTTACTATTTGTATATGTAAGCAATTCATGTCTGTTCAAAAGTGCTAACTGTATATAATGATATTACCAGAAAGATTTGAGCCGGGCGGTGGTGGCGCACGCCTTTAATCCCAGCACTTGGGAGGCAGAGGCAGGCGAATTTCTGAGTTCAAGGCCAGCCTGGTCTACAGAGTGAGTTCCAGGACAGCCAGGGCTACACAGAGAAACCCTGCCTCGAAAAACCAAAAAAAAAAAAAAAAAGAAAGATTTGGTCTCTAGTTTATTCTAAGTCCCATATTTGAGCTTT